GAAGTGTTACAAATAAAAAGCAGCAAAATCTCTACCATACCACCCAAATACCCATTAAATTTCCTGAAGATGTCCTGTGGCTTACAATCTACCTTCTCCCGCTTTAAATACTTAGAATCCTCTTGGAATTGCAACTATTCAATTTAGGAATTAAAATGTAGCTCCTCATATACCTTATATTTGCCTTTACTTTAAGCCTTAGAAAGCCTAAATATAAACTATATAGGTGAAGGTATATAATATACTGTCTGCATGTTTTAATGCATCATAATCATAATTCTGTCTCATTTTTTCCTACATTTTTATCCTGATGACAAAGTACATCACATTCCTTAAGTCTGTGCTCTGCTCTCATGTTTTCTCATGAACAGAATTCATAGTGAAATCCACTCCTACTGAACCCTAAGTCCCTTTCCATGTGGTTGCCATTGTGACATTTCTTTGTCATTCTTTTAACCATATCAAATTGAGTCAGTACTTATTTATGGTGTAGTGCCTCTCTCGGAAGGGTTTCTGGAAAAACACTCCTTTATATAGCTGCTGGAAGAGAGAATAATCTACATGTGCTCCTTCAGTCTTCCTAGACACGAGAGAATGGTGTTTCCTTTCTCTCTATCCTTTGGAAGGCTGCTCTCGTAGGTTTTGCTAAAATGCCTTTGGCCCAGAAAATTGTGTTGAGATTATTGAATATGACTTTAGAATTCAAGTTCATCTGATCTGAGCCTTTCATTTTATAAATGAAGAAACTGATTTGTAGCATTGAGCTTGAAGATATTAGAGATAAATTAAGTTATGAGCAGCTTTATAAAAAGATTACTTAGGTATTACAAAATATTTCCTTTCGGCTAGGCGCGGTGGCTCACGCCTGTAATCCTAGCACTCTGGGAGGCTGAGGCGGGTGGATTGCTCGAGGTCAGGAGTTCAAAACCAGCCGGAGCAAGAGCAAGACCCCTTCTCTACTATAAATAGAAAAAATGAATTGGCCAACTAAACATATATATGTATATAGAAAAAATTAGCTGGGCATGGTGGTACATGCCTGTAGTCCCAGCTATTAGGGAGGCTGAGGCAGGAGGATCGCTTAAGCCCAGGAGTTTGAGGTTGCTTTGAGCTAGGCTGACGCCATGGCACTCTAGCCTGGGCAACAAAAGTGAGACTCTGTCTCAAAAAAAAAAATTTCCTTTCACCCTAAAGCCCATTTTACTATTTATATGTATATAAATACATTGATTTCCTTATTTATCTTAATGGGGAATTAAAGCCTTAATGAACCTTTAACTTTAGGGACTAGTTTTATTTAAATAGTTAATTTCTGTTAGTTTTGAGTGAGAATAAAGAAACATGCATATTAATTACTTAATAAGGCTTATGCTGGAAGAACTTTGGATTTGAACTGTTCTCTTGTAACTAAAATCACAGCATTGCAGTACTTCCCATGCTAGAAGTCGAGAGCATTAAAGTCTGCGCATGAACATAACTAGCCAGATGTGCCTGGACACCCGAAGGGATAAATGAAAGTCAGCTATAAACTGTAGGAATGTCACTTAAGCACCCATTAGGTTTAGCACAGCACTTAGCTGTGGAAATGAAGATTGGGGAACTATATACATAGAGGAAGGGTGAAGGCCAAGGAACATTATGTGTTAATAGAACTTTTTTCGGTTTTATAAAATTAAAAATAACTTATTTGGCTTCTTTCCAAACTTGGTTGAGGGACTTGGCTGCTAAGAGCTGTGCCTTCAACATCTCTTTCATTATATTGTAGTTGATTACAGGTGGGGTCACCATAGTTTGGCATTTACTTGGCTGTCAGTATCCTATAGGGAATGTATGCTTCCTTTTCTTGTTCCTCTAAGGTATTAGACAAGTCAGTCTTTTTTGCCTCCTGGGATGGATTAATCTTAAAAGATGGGCACTTTGCAGTACTTAGTTGATAAAACACCATACATATTTTTAATTATCTATTGTTTATTAGAAACCATTACAATTTCAGCATATTCTGCTCATGGTTCTCTCTGTTCTCTCTTTCTCTTTCTTCTCTCAGTTGCTTATTACATTGCCCAAACCTCACTCTACTTAGCATACATCTAGGGCTTTTGGTTGTAAAAAAGGCTAAAAACTTTGACATCTAGAGAATCCATTTATATGAAGTATATAACTTTTAATGTAGTTATAGATTAAACATCATAAAACATTATTCAGTGATGCTCTTGTATAAACCTTTCAAATTATCCCAGTTTTCATTTTATTTTATTTTTATTTTTTGAGACAGAGTCTCACTTTGTTGCCCAGGCTAGAGTGAGTGCTGTGGCATCAGCCTAGCTCACAGCAACCTCAAACTCCTGGGCTCAGGCGATCCTCCTGCCTCAGCCTCCCGAATAGCTGGGACTACAGGCATGCGCCACCATACCCAGCTAATTTTTCCTATATATATTAGTTGGCCAATTAATTTCTTTCTACTTATAGTAGAGACGGGGTCTCACTCTTGCTCAGGCTGGTTTCCAACTCCTGACCTTGAGCAATCTGCCCGCCTCGGCCTCTGAGAGTGCTAGGATTACAGGTGTGAGCCACCGCACCCGGCCCAGTTGTTTTTTTTTAAAAATAGTAACTATATATTTTGTTCTGTAAATCATTGGTATACGTGTGGATAGAGCATAAAAGATCATGGACATTTTCTAGATGGAATTCAATTATATCTTGGCTACTATAATAGAATATTTCAAAGGGGAACATTATAAATTAACTAGATGCACTCACCACCAATTGCCACCACTACCACTTTCCACATCTATAAGACAGTAACATTTGTTGTATTTTTCAAAGACTGACCTGTAACATGTTTTATTAGTTGGTTGCTTACTATCCTAGCAGAAATGTCTGAGATGATATTCATCAAGGTCCCAAAGAAGTATAGTAATACATTAATATATGGTTTATCCAAAACTTTTATTTGAAGTTTTACTTGCCTATAGGCTAATTTCTTTCCAGTTTGGGGCATGGAGTCATTATTTGCAAGAAAGGGTTTTGGATATATGAAATTAAAACTCATTTCACAGACTACTCTAAAGTATCTCTGGGCCAGTATGTTTGGTTTCTGAAAATTCTTGGAGATTATTGAAAACTGTGGTTAGGTAGAGTTAATATTCTATGTTTCTAAGCTGCTATACTTCTACATATTGGCAAAGATGATATTTTGGGCAGCAGCAACCTATGCTAATGGGTTATTGTCCCCTGGCAGTAAGTTTGCAAGCCTCCTGTACTATATAGCTAATTAATGGAATCAGTAACTTCATTTGATATTTATTTAAAGTGAGTTTAAAAAATTTTAATAATAGGTTTATTGAGATACAAGTCTCATACCGTACAATTCACCTATTTAAAATGTATGAGCCAGTGATTTTTAGTATATTTACAGAGCTGTGCAATCATAATCACGGTCAATTTTAGAACAATTCCATCACTCCAGAAAGAAACCCCATACCCATTAGCAGTCATTTTCCATTTCCCCACTACTCCTCCTCTGTCCCTAGCCCTAGGCAACCACTAATCTACTTTCTGCCTCTATTGGTTGTCCTATTCTGGAGATTTCATATAAACAGACATATACAATATGTGGTCTTTTGTGTCTGGCTTCTTTCACTTAGTATAATGTTTTGAAAGCTCATCCATGTTGTTTCATGTATCAGTACTTCATTACTTTTTTTTTTTTTTTTGGAGACAGAGTCTCCCTCTGTCACTCTAGCTAGAGTGCAGTGGAGTCATCATAGCTCACTGCAACCTCAAACTCCTGGGCTCAAGTGATCCCCCTGCCTCAGCCTCCTGAGTAGCTGGGGCTACAGGTGTGCACCACGATGCCTAGCTAATTTTTCTATTCTTTTTTTTTTTTTAGTAGAGATGGGGTCGGGGTCTTGCTCTTGCTCAGAGCTAGTCTCCAACTCCTGACTTCAAACATTCCTACTGCCTTAGCATCCTGGAGTGCTAGGATTACAGGTGTGAGCCACCACACCCAGCTTCATTACATTTTATTGCTAAAATTTGTTTTTGAAGATTATTTTGGCATTTTCTTTCCCTTAACTCTATTGTTTCCCTTTTCACTGTGAAATACACCTTAAGGTCTCTAGTTATAATTATAAACATTTCAAAGAGTAAACCAGTTTATTTCTATAATCCATAAAGCAGTCACCTACATGATCTAGAGTATTTCACAGTTGATTTATATGTTACAAGAGAAGAGTTTTTTCAGCTTTTTAAAATGTTTTCAGAAGATAGCATATTAGGCCAGGCATGGTGGCTCACGCCTGTAATCCTAGCACATTGGGAGGCTGAGGTGGGAGGATTGCTTGAGCTCAGGAGTTCAGCCTGAGCAAAAGCAGCGAAACCCTGTCTCTACAAAAATTAGAAAAAACTAGCAGGGCATGGTGGCATGTGCCTGTAGTCCCAGCTACTCGGGAGGCTGAGGCAATAGGATCACTTGAGCCCAGGAGTTTGAGGTTGCAGTAAGTGAGCTACAATGAGGCCACTGCACTCTACCAGGGCGACAGAGTGAGATTCTGTCCCCAAAAGAGAGAGAGAGAGAAAAAAAAAAGACTATCTATATAACCAATAAACATATTACAAACTTCTCAAACTTATTTTTAAAAAAAGAAAAAAAATATGATGTTAGCTACCGCCAGTGGCAAGCCCAGCTCAACCAGGCACATCATTGTGACTGCAAATTAGTCCATTTCAATATACTTTATATCATAAGCATTTTTTTTACATCTAAAATAGTTTAGGTCATTGCTTTCATTAGTGGTTCTTCACTAGGGAGTACTGGGATGTTATCAGAAATAAAACTCCCAGCCCACCCATTGCTTATAGATTTATAAACATCAAAATGCATGAAAGATGATGTTCTGTTATCAGCTACAGTGTTTATATACATTATTCAAGAAGATTTTATATGTGCTATATTAATCATCTTTTTTTGTTTGTTATTTTTTAATGTGTGTCATCTTCAGGACCCTTCGAAAAATAACACGTGCAAAAGGTTAGTATCCCCTTAACAGACTTCCTTATGCTCAACATAATGTGGCAAGAGGTTCTTCCGTAAATATGCATGTATAACATAATTTACGAGTACAGTTTGACAGCTAATTCTTTTTTGGCCAAAATCTTGGCAAATTCAGTAGTTCCTTGACTTTAGCAAAATGAATTTTTACAGTTTCAACCATTTTGAATGATCTGAAAGGTTCACGCTTTCAGTAATTGTTAAATCTTGTTGTGACATAAATTGGAATCACACTAAGATTGCTGTCCATTATGAATGGAGAAGTAACTACTACTAAGTCAATCTCCCAGTCTCTGCAGCTCAGCTCAGCTATGTGAGTCCACCAAAACTTAATCTCATTTACTCCTCACAACCACTCTGTAAGGTAGGTGCTATTATTACATTTTAACGGAAAAAAAAAAAAAAGAGATTATTACAGTCATATTTAGGAATTTGGATTTTCTCAGAGGTTTCCTTACAGTATATCTCTTACAGTAATATTAGTAATATGGTAGTATTAGCTCTGAAAGGTATGAATTCCCATCCCTTGAGTGTCTCTATTTGAGATGACTACTGTGAAATCCTTGGCTTGTAAAAAAAAAAAAAAAATCTTTGTAGAGATTATGTAGATCCTACCTCTTGTACTTTTGGACATCTCACTTAAAGTATTACAGAGAAAGTAGAAAATTACATCTTTTTTCCAATAAAATGTCAGGTCTTTTGTTTGAAGTAATGGACCAAGTATGAACTATTAGTAAATTCAGTTTCCTTGATATTAAGGACTATAGTCAGCCAAATGCTGCATAAAGAATTTGAAAATGCAAGCCACAAACTGGCAATAGACTTAGTGCATAAAACTGATTGAGGTTGTTGTGCAGAATAAAGAATTCCAACAAATCAATTTTTAAACAATAACTCAGTGAAATATGAGAAAAAGATTAAGCACTTTATGGAAGAGGAAATACAAATATTATGTAAGCATATATAAGAAAAGGTTAATCTCATTCATCATCAGAGAGATGTGAATTAAAATCATGGGTTTATTTCATACCTACAAGATTGGCAAAAATGAAAAATTCTGCAAATAAGAGTTGATTAGGAAGTGGATCACCAATCATCTTAAGCACTCCTAAGGTAATGTAAATGGGTATAATCACTTTGGAAAACAATTTGGTATTGTCTAGTAAATTTGATAATATGAGTAACTTTTGACCCTGCAATTCCATTTCTAGGGATATATTCAATAGAAATGTATGTACCAGTATACCAGGAAATACACACAGGAATGTTCAGAGTAGCATTGTTCAAGATATTCTACCATTGGAAACAACCCCAATATCTGTTCATTAATAAAATGAATTAATAAATTGTGGTTTATTCATACATTGGAATACTACAAGTACAATAAAAATAAATGAATCACACACATGCAGTAACGTGAATAAATCTCCAAGAAGAAAAATTCTGTCTTGTGGCATGAAGTTTCTGTTGAATCTAAATCTCCTTCGTTGCAGTATAAATGTGTTTCTTCTGGTTGTCTCCTCAGTGGCAGTTAAGTATTAGGAAAGATTTTATGAGGATTAGTGGTCAACCATTCTCAGTCTTTTGCACCGAAGAATTTTTCTTTTTCAGTGTTTTCTCAAGGATCCTACTTTCGGATTCTTTAGTCTTTTGCGATTGTTCTTCAAGAAGTCTGAATTCATTACTCTTACGGGGAGATTAATTCAAAGTTCCCGTGTGCCATCTTGCCTGTTTTTAAAATAAAGCTACCTGGCTGACATTCTAAACTTGTCCAGAGTAGCTTTCTGCCATACTTAAGTGTACAAAGCGCTAGGCATGTTTAGGCAAAGAGAATCATTTTTATTATGGATCTCAGGTGGTTTTATTAGCTTCAAATCTTTTAATGCCAAGATTGTGGATGTCTTAAGTAGAAGGGCAGCCAGGTCATTTGGATCATGGAAAAATTATGCCTTAAAACTAGTATGCTAATAAGCTCTATTAAAGAAGAATTTAAGGAGAATGATTACTTTTCTGAAACTCCTACGGATAGTCTCTTGCAATATTTTTTAAGCCAATTGTCATTTGCTCAACTCTGTTAGAGCCATCTATATGCTGTGTGTGTGTCTGTCTTATTAGTGTCCAAACTTAACTAGAGATTAAGAGGATGCATATTTCTTATGTATGAGATTAGGATGATATTAGCACTTATTATAGCACTTTTATGAGGATTAAATTTTTAAATACATGTGAAGCAGCTAGAATATTGCTGATAGTCATATTGGATATTATTGCTTACAAATTTATAATGGGATAAATATATATACCTCCATACATACTTACATGAAATGACACTTATATAATGTTAATTGTAGAATATGTGAAAAACAAAAGCACAAATAAGAAAATGTGAAACTATCCATAATCCCATAACCCAAAAATAACCACTATATGTCTTTGCAGAAACTCATCTTGAGGTGTGTGTGTGTGTGTATGATTCTTTTCTGAAATTATCGTATTCATTCTGTTTTTGAACTTCGAAAAATATTCCAATCCAAGTATTTTTTTTCCAAGAACTGTATGATAAAAGCAGTTAAATTTTCCAAAGTAAATCAAAACTCTTTGCTCATACAAATATTAACATGGGAATGCCGAAACATGGTGACCATTTGGTATAAAACATTCACAACTTTATTTCTTTTTCCCCCCTACTTCTAGTTGCTGGGGATATTGGATTTTCCCCATCGTAGGTGCTATTCTCTTAGGTTTCCTGTATCGCTACTACACGTCGGAAAGCAAATCCTCCTGAGGAAGCCTTGCTGAAGTCTGGAAAACACATCCACTTGGGAGTGCAAACCAGAGACTTGCTTGGGGGCCGCAGTGATGCCCTCTCTTTGAATCTTGCCAGTTGTATTCTTCCCCCTTGGAGTCAAGACGGTTGGTTAGACATCCACCTCAGATCTGGGACCAGTGTCCTTCATCTCTCAGAGCCTTATGCCCAGAGCACCTGCTCACCACTCTGTGTCCTTGCCAGTGTTTGCTGTCTTCACTGGTTTCCACTTACATTTCAAAACTTTCTGTTCATAATTTCAATTCATACGTCGTAGTAACATTGCTTTTTGGTAAAAATGCCTGCTTTCCAATACTTTGCATATTAGATATTCTTAACAGGGCAGCAGTCTAGTGTGGAAGCTTTTTTCATTTTTCTTTTAAGTAATTTTTTTTTGAAATGCTGATTTCTATCATTTATCATAAGGGGTTTAATTATGAAATAAAGGTGTGTACTTATTACTGAAAATATAACTGCCAAATGATCTTGTTCCTTGTTTGTGTTTGTTAAAACCACAAAGAACTGTGTGGTCTTCTCCCTCCCAAGCTAATGTAGCAGGTAGCTCTTCCCATCCAAGTCCAGTCCCTTCACTTCCAAAATGGTGCTGGACAAAACTATGTTTCCCTGTTATTTCTTGTGGGTGGGAAGAGACCCAGAAAGGAAGGGGGATGAACTGGAGTGTTAGAACCTGACGAATTCAGAGTAATCTTTTTTTTTTTTTGAAAAATATTGAAAAACACTACTTTAGGATAGGAGTTTAGAGAAAGCACCAAAGCTTTCGCTTTGGTTTGGAACCAGTTTCTAGCCAACTCTTCCCCCCTCCCCCCAGCTATCTTTTATTGGTAAAATATAAATGTATAATTATGTCTGTAGAACTTTACCAGGGATTTTTGTTGCTTTTTAATTTATTGATTAGCAAGTTTTTGATTCTGTATTTTACAAAAGTAAGAGACTCCAATTTGACCCTCTGTTTGCCCCAGTAAAATAACTTTCGTGTAAAATGGCATTTCAAAGTGGAAGATTGTGACAGGAGACTGTTTTCCATTGCATCTGTATTTTACCTCCATGGCTCCAAGTTGTGGTTTTGTTCTGTTTTTCTATTGAGAATAAAAAACAAAAAAATGGTAGTTTTTTTTTTCTTGGATGTGTGTTTCCTTGAGAAGTAGGTTATTATTTAGAATTATGTTACTGTTTCTTATTGTTTCAGGGATTTCTCTAGCATATTTGGCTTTATTTGTCCCCCCTGGAAGCACCTGAGGAGATGGTACACTGTTTTCTGCCAGCAACTGTGGTGATTTTTCTCCCCTTCCTTTGAGGCTTACCAGTCTGCTTCTGAGCCATTGTCATTTCTAGCAGGGAGCATCTTAGTTCAGGAATGATCATAGATGCTGCTCAGTATCTCCTCTCTCCCTTCCAGCCTGCCAGGGACTTGAGACAGGAAACTGCCCAGCAAACCAGTGTCTGCCCATGTAAACTATTTAAGAAAAAGTTCAACCCAGGTCTTGTATCCTGTGATTAAGCAGTTGAATGAATTCAGAATTCATCTAAATAATATTAACCTTGTACTTGCACACTGGAATATATTTTGGAGTCATTTTAGGGGATTTCTGGCTGACTTTTATTATCTGGGATATGGGTTTAGTAAAACTTTCATCTTTCGAAAATATTTGTATGTATTATAAGATGCCACTTGAAGACAATTTATTGAAGAAAAGTCTCTGTTTATGATGTAATGAAAGTGGTGTGAGTTGATGCTCCTCCATTTAAAGGCTAGAAAGGATTCCTTGAATAAGGATTGATGTAGAGTTGCTGTAATAATTAAGTTGCATGATTACAGGGAGTACATTGAGGTAGAAGTAAAGAACAAAGGAGCAGTGAGGAGCTGGAAAAGGGGACATTGAAGCTAAAACTAAGCCAGAAGATAATTTGAATCAATTGTAAAAGTGTGTTGGCAGTCTCCAAAATTGAATGGAAAACATCTGGCTTGTAAGAAATGTGAAAGAACTATAGTCTTAGGTGAAGTTGGTGTTTTTGATAGTTTTAAGGTAAACACCAATGGAAAAGGTATGTTTTTCTACTTCATATTGGTTTTCTTTTCCTGTTTATATGTAGACTTGTTTTTACTGAGAGCCAGAGGGAAGAAAATTTTCAGATGTTGTCACTTCCATCCATGAAATCCATCCAATACCCAGGGCTTCTTTTGAAGCGACTGCTAATGTGATGTCACTTTGTATTATAAAAACCGCTTTGGGGTCCATTTACTATTATTCTGCTGCCTACAAAAACAGCCAGGTGAAAGGTGGATCTTGTGTAAGAGTTTGCAGAGTTTGCTCTAAACAATAAAGTAATACAGTACACGAGCCAAATCCATCAAAAAGGAGTTTTGTTTAAGAAGCAGACTTGAATTCTCGAAACAGCCTTGACATTAGTAGGTTGTGAAAACACCTCAGGAGAGCAAGTGGAGCCAGTCCCTGTTGGCTTACAGTGCCCCCTGAAGCTGGTCTCTGGGGTGCTGGGTTGTTTATTCCTGAGGAAGACTGGCTGCTGCCGCATACCATATTGTACACAAAATGGCTGGGGAACACAGAAGGAGCAGATTAGGGGATTCTTGTGCCACCAGAATAGAGGGTGTTAGTGCCTGTTTTCTAAAATTTCCTAGCCTCTGACTCCTAGGAATTGGTTTTTGTTTCCAAATGACTTCTATGTTTGTAAAGATGAGAAAGTGGCATGATCAAAGTTTATGTTGTTTTTATTTTTTCAGTTTTTATTTTTATTTTTTTTGAGAGAGTCCCACTCTATTGCCTGGGCTAGAGTGAGTGCTGTGGCATCAGCCTAGCTCACAGCAACCTTGAACTCCTGGGCTCAAGTGATCCTCCTGCCTCAGCCCTTCCCCCCTCCCCCAGTAGCTGGGGCTACAGGAATGAGCCACTATGCCCGGCTAATTTTTTCTATATATTTTTAGTTTGCCAATTAATTTCTTTCTATTTTTAGTAGAGACGGGGGTCTTGCTCTTGCTCAGGCTGGTTTCGAACTCCTGAGCTTGAGCCATCCGCCCACCTCGGCCTCCCAGAGTGTTAGGATTACAGGCTTGAGCCACCAAGCCCGGCCTGTATTGTTTTTTAGATCTCCTTGTGACCACTTAAGCAAAAACAAAACTCCATTGGAACCTATAATTTGGGCCTGTAAATTTCTTTAAGCAGTTGTCATAAATGCATATGTTGTGAAATAAGCACATTGTTGAGTTTATACTCATTTAGTTCCTATGTGGTGCACTGAAAAATGCTTTGCAGGCCTGGGTATATCATTACTTACCATATCTCATGCTTTCAAATGTTAAGTGATATCTATCTCGTTAAATTCCATTTTAGGAGATTGAAATGCAGAACATTAATGTTCATTGCCTCCTACCCTAGGAGAAATGGATTCAGACATGTCTTGTCTCAACAAGAAATCAATTTTTTAAAACCATCTCCTTCTGTTGCCAAATATCACAGAAGTAATGGGGAGTTTAGTCACATTTGGCTGTTGCGCTCTGAAAGAGCCAAGTTTGGAATTTGTGGGGGTGATCTAGGACGGAGGTTCCAAAGAAGTAGAGAGGTATTTGTCAAGTTACCTACCCTATATCCAGCATCTTACTCATAAGTTTTAGTAGCTGCTCTTTGCCCACGCCTGCATCAAATATTTGCTATTTGGGCAAAACACTATTTCAAGTATTTAACTTCTGTTCTTTTTACTTCACCCTCAACTGTGATCTAGTAATATTAACATTCCTTTTGCTATTCAATAATGGAGTTTGTTTACCTATTTTATTTCAGCATATTTTGAACAAAGATCTTTGTCTCTTTCTGTTGGAATGTGCACACAATGAATGTTTGTTAGAACTACACACAATAAAGATACTGTTTTCTTGCCTTGACTACAGTTGTTTTTTTGTTGGTTTTTTTTAATGTGGTCTTTTAAGTAGAAGTGTTGGCTCTGTAATCCTCAGGTGTTCTGGAAGAAAAGAATTTGAAAAGGATGAAAATCACCTGTACTGGTGCTAATATAGTGTGTAGTGTTAACTTGATGGGAGTTCTGAGGGTCTTCAGGATTCTTGTCACAGCTCTTTGCTTGAAGTGAGTTGCTCATTTTATAATCCTGTGGATGCAAAAAATCAAGGCTTTTACCATATTCGTGTATGTGAAGTGGGAACCAGCTAGACAGGTTTAAGGGGTCTGTTTTTGCTGAAACTATCTGGTAAAGAGAAGCCAATACAAAGTAATAATGTTTTGTTATCTGGAAGGCCAGTCTTCAAATGATTGTTTTTTTTGGAAACAGCTAAACTGTTGGGGAAAATTAAACACTGAGATTGAGGTTCTAGTGATTATGTTAATAAAACAAGGGAAATAAACCATTTTTATAATTACCTTTAAAACATACTGATGGCCTTCTAACATTATATCAGATTACTGTTGAGAGATGATTTATTAGGGCTAGGTGGTTTCATTATCACAGGAATTGAGGATTTCTCTCAGGAAAGCATAGCCCCATTCTTGTTAACCCACGTTTGGATCTAATGTTTAATCTTCAGTGCTAGTAAGAAGAGTTCATTATCACAGCATTTTCTCTGATCCTGAGTATTTTGGTAGGTGCTTGACAAATCCCAGTTTGATTCATGAAAGCCTGAGGTAGAAGACTGTGATTCCAATTATGTAAATTTAAGGTAAGAAATAACCACACAATCTGTTAAACTGCTGGTAATTGATAGCATACATCTGACATTAATTAGCTAAGTAGATATCTAGGCTATGTATTTCAATGCCCACTCAGCTCAATCACATATATGCCAGCATTTTAAAAACGAAATTCCTTTAGGAAGCATTAAGGAGAGAATAGAGTTGCTTTTCACATGAACTGTGAGGATGCAGCTGTAACACTGTCATTTATATGACACCTGTGTGCCATCCAGTGCCATCTAGTAGTTTACAAGCATTGCTGATCCTTACTCTTAACAGTGTGGTTGGGGGCATCCAAATTTTACCAGTGGCTCAGCCACCTGACTTGCCCAATGCCACAGAGCTTTTAAGAGGAGAGCCAGGTTAATAAACCTGTCTCAGTGGAGACAATTGGTTTGAAATGAACCTCAAATCCCTTGCAAAACAGTTTTGTGTGTTTTTTTTTGAGACAAAGTCTCGCTTTGTTGCCCAGGCTAGAGTGAGTGCCATGGCGTCAGTCTGGCTCACAGCAACTTCAAACTCCTGGGCTCAAGCAATCCTGCTGCCTCAGCCTCCCGAGTAGCTGGGACTACAGGCATGCGCCATGTCCGGCTAATTTTTTCTATATATATTAGTTGGCCAATTAATTTCTTTCTAATTATAGTAGAGACGGGGTCTCGCTCTTGCTCAGGCTGGTTTTGAACTCTTGACCTCAAGCAATCCTCCCGCCTTGGCCTCCCAGAGTGCTAGGATTACAGGCGTGAGCCACGGCGCCCGGCCCAAAACAGTTTCTTGAAGCCAGTTAGTGAGACTTTAAATTTGAACTATGTTGCTATAAACAACCTTTGGTAAAAAGCAGCCTATAAAGGATTGAAGATGACTAATGAAACCCTGAAGCAGCAAAGATGAGAAGTTTCTGTGTAAATTCACTAGTCTAGGGTCCCGGTTAAGATTTAACCTGGAACAATATGTGTAAGTAAATAGTTTTTAATGAGAAGCAATGTTTGATTGGTTGACTGAACTTTAGCCTCTTCTGAATGGATCTCTATGAATCTTGGAAGGATGAGAAATGGAATCTTACACTTTACCCATGTAACATAAGATTTGGTAACTGTTGTTTCCAGCTTTTGAAATTGTTATATGATGAAAAGATGATTCAAGTTCATTGGAGAAAAAAACAACACAATGCAAATGCAATGCTGTTTGTTACAAATGTGACAAGTGCTAGTCTTAAGGAAGTTTCCTATTATTTGCTCCTGGTCCCAATCTCTGCAACTGAAAACAGTGAGTGATGTTAACTTTAGAATCACATGGACCTGGAAGGAGAAAAAAATTTTAAAAAGAAACACAAGAAACTCCAGGTAGTTTCATTTTCCTTTAAAGAAGCTTACTTTGGGGATCTTTATTTCAGTTTCCTTCTTTTATCCAGCTTTTCAGAAACGGAGTTGGGATTATTTCATAGAATAGAATGATGTTCACAGTAAAAACAAATCATCTTACAAACCTGCCCAATCTGATTTAATTGCATCGGAAATCTAATCAGGGACAAATAGAGATAGAATTGGGAGAAGCTAAACCATGGACAGCACAAGAAAATAAGGTTTTCAAGACTCCCAGTCTGACCCCCTTTTCTCTCTCTCTTTTTTTTTTCTCTCTGTTTTTTTTTTTTTGTCTCTCTTTGTTGTTTTTTTGTTTTTTTTTTGAGACAGAATCTCACTATGTTTGTTGCCCGGGCTAGAGTGCCATGGCATCATCCTAGCTCACAGCAACCTCCAACTCCTGGGCTCAAGCGATCCTCCTGCCTCAGCCTCCTCAGTAGCTGGGACTACAGGCATGTGCCACCATGCCCGGCTAATTTTTTCTATATATATTTTTAGTTGGCCAATTAATTTTTTTCTATTTTTAGTAGGGACGGGGTCTCGCTCTTGCTCAGGCTGGTCTCGAACTCCTGAGCTTGAGCGATCCTCCCTCCTAAGCCTCCCAGAGTGCTAGGATTACAGGCATGATCCACCACACCCGGCCCCTTTTCTCTTTTGTATTTTTTTTTTCATTTTGGATTTCCCCCACTTCTCATCCTACCTCATCTTGCCCCCCTTACTTTGCCTTATGTTTTACTCTATAAAGGACAAGATGTTGCCTCAGCTGTGCTTGTCTTCTTCTTCTTTTTTTTTTTTTTAAAGAGACCCAATCTTGCTATGATGCCCTGGTTGAACTCAAACGTCTGGGCTCAAGTGATCCTCCCTCCTCAGCTTCCCAAGTAGTTGGGACTACAGACACATAGCGTTGTGCCTGGCCACCTCTTCATTTTTAAGTGTGGTACAAAAATGTACCCAATAGACTATCCTAGAGAACATTTGTAAGAAATAACTTGATTTGTTTATAAACTGAATCATCTAAGTAAACTAGTGCATTTCTCATTTCTGTTTGAACATTTCTATTAACCTTCATTTAAGGTTACATTCTACCTCTGGACATTTCATATGAGTCAATCAATTTGCTTTTGTCTTAAATTAGTTCAAATTCGGTTTCTGAAATGCACATGACTACTACGGTCTCTACAACTTATATGACCTTAAAAGACTTGCCATGGTAATGTCCTTATAAGGGTTCTGCCTTTCCAAGTATAACTCAACTCCCATAGGGCAGAAACTCATTTGGTATTCCCTGCCAGGTCTCAGTATCTCTGGGAAGAAGAAATATTCCTCACTTTAAGACATCCACAGGCTGGGTACGGTGGCTCACTCCTATAATCCCAGCCCTTTGGAGGCTGAGGTGAGAGAATGGCTTGAGGCCAGGAGTTCGAGACCAGCATGACCAACATAGGGAGACTTAGTTTCTATTTTTTAAAAAAGCCAGGCATGGTGGTGTGCTTCTATAGTCCCAACTACTTGGGAGGCTGAGACAAGAGGGTTGTTTGATTCCCAAGACTGTGAGGTTGCAGTGAGCTATGTTGATTCCACTGTACTCTAGCCTGGGCAAAAGAGTAAGACCCTGCCTCAAAAAAGAAAGAAAGAAAGAAAAAAAAGAAAAAACCCACAGATTATTTATTATTGTCATAGAGTAAGATACAGAGGCCTATTTAAGCGAATGTAGATAAAATAGAAATGACTTGCTATGCATCAGTAATGAAATGAGTATCTGATGGAACACAAATATAGAAAGCACAACTGGCCCTCATGCTACAATTATTGAGCCTATAGTGATACATTGTTATTAAATGCTTATTAATGAAGTCCATATTTTATGCATATTTCCTTAGTTCTTAGCAAATGTCTGTTATTCTGTATCATGACCTCATCTTAGGATTCCACATTGCATTTTGTCATCATGTCTCTCTCAAGTACCTCTCTGCTATGACAGTGTCTCAGACGCTCCTTGTGTTTGATGACCTTGACAGTTTTTTGAGGAGTAGATAAGTAGGATGGCCAAGTAGAATGTCTTCTATTGGAATTTGTACAACGTTTTTCTCAGGATTAGACTGAGGTTAGGGGTTGGAGAGAGGAAGACCGCAGAGGGAGGTTGCCATTTTCATCATATCATATGAAAGGTACACACCATGAACGTGATTTATGACTGTTCGTGTTGACCTTGATCACCCAGCTGCAGAAGTATTTATCAGGTTTGTTCACTATACTTTCTATACTGTTCCACACCATGGAACAGGAGAAAGTCCCTGCACAGCCCACACTTAAGGAATGCGGAGTTATGCTCCGTCTCCTGAAGGATAGAATATCTACATAAATAAGAATTTTTCTGGATGGGAGATTGCTTGCAACTGGGTCTTGCCATGTTGCCCAGGCTGGAGTACAGTGGCCGTTCACAGGTGAGGTCCTAGTTCATGGCAGCCTTGAACTCCTGGCCTCAAGTGATCTTCCCACCTCAGCCTCTCAAGTGGCTTGGACTGCAGGTGCGTGCATCACTGCACCCAGCTGTGGTTTCTTAGAATTTTACAGTTGATTGATATTTAGATTACTCTTTGACCACCCTAAAAAAATGGTAAGGGGTTTGTGGTTGAACACAGTAGTTTGAGCAAACTTGTTTCTCTCTGCTCCTTTCCAAAAGCTACAGAATGATGACAGTAAGAAATAAAAAAAGACACAAATCTACAAAGACAAAAATGAGAGAGTATGCAGCAGATGATAAAAGAGCCCAAGAAGATTTTTGGAAGATGGAAGGCCAATAAACTTAGAAGAATGTAGAAAACAAATTTAAATGCCTGGTGGTGGGGGTGAAGGGGCCAACAAGAATGAAATCATACTACAGAGCCCTGAATGGGAAGCACCATTTATTTACTTCTGAGAGTAGATGTTATAGAGTGGTCTTGAAACCAGTGAAGTTAGACTTCTTCCCTCCCACCCAACCACCTCCATCACTAACCCTACCCTGCATGAGTGAGCATCTCCCACTCTCCCTCTCTGACAAAACCAGAGGTTTAATCCTGGG